AGCCCCCGCCCCACGCTGAGTCTCCAGCCCGGACGGGGCAGCTGGTGACCCCGCGGGCCCGGGAGAAGGACGCCGGCCACATACCTGCTTCTTTCCTTAGACAGGTTTGAGAGGAGTCCTGACTCCTAGTGTGACCTCGTGCAAGTGACTTGACCTCCCAGAGCCTCGACCACCTCCACCTCTCTCTCTCTCTCTCTCTCTCTCTCTCTCTCCCCACACAGACACACAAAAAGCGATGATCTCCCTTACAAAATCGTTCATTCATGCATCCCATTTTCCCATTGAGCAATATTTATTTAACACCTACAGTATCTTAGGCGCTGGGCCATAGCAATGAATAAAATAGACATGCCCGTAGATTGTAGTCCGGAAATACAGAGAATACATGGAAGCCACACAATCTCACTCCCAAGTATATGCCCAACAGAGATGCATATGTGTGCACAAAAGACACCCACTAATGTTCAGGGCAACACTATTTGTAATAGCCCCAAACTGATACAACCCAAATGTTCATCAATAGTTGAATCAGATAAATTGTGGCCTATTCACACAATAGTATATCCATACAATGAAATATTATTCAGCCATAAAAAATAATGACTGAGCCCTAACCAGTTTGGCTCAGTGGATAGAGCATCGGCCTGCGGACTGAAGGGTCCCGGGTTCGATTCTGGACAAGGGCATGTACCTTGGTTGTGGGCACATTCCCAGTAGGGGGCGTGCAGGAGACAGCTGATCGATGTTTCTCTCTCATTGATGTTTCTAACTCTCTATCCCTCTCCCTTCCTCTCTGTAAAAAATCAATAAAATACATTTAAAAAAATAATGACTGATATATGCTACAATAGGGACGGAGCTTGAAAACATTCTAAGTGGTAGAAGCCATTCATAAAAGGCCACAAACTCTATAATATCACTTATATGAAATGTCCAGAATAGGCAAATTTATAGACAGAAAGTAGATTGGTATTTGCCTAGGGCTGGGATGTTGGTGAGGGGGGCAGGGCAAGTGAGGGTGACTGCTATGAGTATAGAGTTTCTTTTTAGGGTGATGGAAATGTTTAAAATTGTGGTTATGGTTGCACAACTCTCTATATAGCATAAACTATGGAGTTGTACAATTTAAATAGATGAATTATGTGATATGTGATGATATTCTCAATAAAGATGGA